TGAGGTCTTCCATTTTCCGGCAAGAACTGGTCCCATCAAAGATTTTATGACACATAAAAATGGAGATACGTTATTACCCAGAGAAAAGGCTCTTCTCTTTTTGACATCCATTGTTGAAAAAACAACTGTGTGAGCCCACTGCAATAGCTTACTAAGCGGCGCTTTAGTTCACCACGTCAAGAACTAGCTTGCGGGACTTGAGAACCGACCATTTCAGCCGCCTGTAGTACGCTGCTTGGAGCAGAGCGAGAGAGAGAAGGAATATCCATTTGAAACCCATCTGCAAGTATAGTGAAACCAACATTAACCACCATGTAACTAAAATGTGAACAACACAAGTGCTAACTCTCGGTGTTATCTGGTTCTTTGGACGTTTTATACATCACCTTGGTCAATCATAAACTAAATCTAGTAACTTTGATTGAAACTTTGCCACATTAACCACAAAGTCTAGGGGGAAAATGCAATATGCAGCAGAGACAAGAGGAAGATAAGCCTACCAATTTCCTCTCTTCCATTTCTGGTTCAGCTGCCCAGGACAAGAATGATACAATATCTTTACCCATCTGCGCAGTAATTGAAAAACGAAAGTTAATATCATGACACTGAGAAAGGACAGATCCATTAGGCCCAAAGACTCGTGTTTCTAATATATGAAGCGGGGGAAAAGTGAAACTAACCTGTGCCTCTGTGGCAGGGACACCATCCTCGTACTCAACAGCTTCATCATTGAGCATTTTCGGCATAGCAATTGCACCGCCAGGGAAATAAGGATTGTAGTGTAAACCCTCTCTTATCTGCAAAGTTATCATGGGATTTTTCAAATCCAAAAAAAAAGGCATTGAAGATGTTCAATGTGGAAAATGAGAAAAATTTACCGAAATTCCAGCAGGAGGTTCACGGTAACCAGTCAGAAGAGCAAAGACGTAATTTTGACCATTGTGACGTGCCTGGCAGGCATAACATTGAAACTATTTAGAACACTGAACACAAGTTTGCTACATATGTACAGTTCAAGTGAAAGAGCAGCAGACCTTAGTTATAAGACTTAGATCAGGAGGATACGCTCCACCATTAGCAAACCTTGCAGCTTGTTCATTCGGATATGGTTGAGGCAACCGGTCACTGAGTTTCCCAGGACGGGTGAACATCTCACCCTCATCATTAGGTCCATCAACAACCTCGATTTCAGCTGCCATTGCCTTTGCCTCTTCCTCTGTGTAGGCAACACCCACCAAATCTCGGTATGAGATTAGAGACATCGAATGGCAAGATGCACAGACTTGCTGATAAACTTGATGCCCACGACGGATCCTGCTCATACAACATTAAACCTCCATAAGATAAGACAGTATAAATCTTTTAGCTGAAATTTCACAGTCTAACCATATCAACGGTAACAGGATAAGCACTTTAACTAATTAAAGCAAAAAGTCTACGACATAATACTAGATAGGATGCTACCACCAGAAGAGAAGAGAAGATAAGAGAGTAGTGAATAAATGTAGATAAACACTCACGAGGCGTGATCATATGAGCTGAGAATGCCATCATGAGGCCAAGGGTAGTCTGGACACTCCAATCCGTGTTCAGCTTCATCAGCAGATGCTACTGTAGAAAAACTCAACAGTCCCGTAACACCAGCACCCAAGAAAGCAAGTGCTCTTAAGCCAGAAGACCCAACGTCCTCATGAGCTTTCTTCGAAGAAAACCACGACAGGACCGGAGTTGCCTGCAGGATAACACAAAACCAATACTAAGAGAAAAAGACTGCGGCAAACCCAATCAATTATATGCTGACAAAATGCACTGCCAAAAGACCGCTGAAAATCAGCGTTCTACTTAGGTTACTTACTGAAAGCAAACGATAAACACAAATCAAAAGACCCTGTCATGGTAATAAAAAACATATTTTTACAGGAAGACAAATCATACAACCATTGTCTCCTGCTTCTCTAAGAATTCAATAACTGATTCTCCTAATGCGAATCGCCCAAAACACAAGCCTTACCCACAGAACCCAAACAATTACAAAGCAAATCCCAAGGATGATCTCTTAAAACAGATCCCAAGGTAAAATCGTACTTACACAGATCAAAATAGAACTGAAGAAGACGAAAATTAAGACTAAAAAAAAAATCTCACAACTGATTGGGAGTGAAGCTTCCTCCTAAGAATTTGCTGGATAACTCCTCCTCCAACCATTTGATTAACGCTTTGTACCAAATCAACTCGCTGAAGAAACAAAAGAAATTGAATCAAAACCAGAACAAAAGAAGCAGTGATAATGCGATTTCACTACACATATACGTATACACAAAATCGAACAAGCCCTAGAAATCCGAGTCTACAAACAGATCCGACGAAACAAAAAAAAAAAAATATATATATATATAGAGAGAGCTATCAATCAAATGTCAAACAAGAAATCGAAGGATTCGAATACGATATGAAAAGACAGAGAGAATCTCACCGGAAAATGAAGCAACGAGATCGGCGACGGAGACGATCGATGGAGAGGAACGAAGAAGTAAGAAAGGAGAGAAAATGGGAGTTCCACGAAGACACAGCGGCTGCTAGACACACGACAGTTTTACATATTTGGGCCTATAGTACGGGCCAACGTTGAACCGTATGGGCCCAATTAATTATCAAGTAGATAGATGATAGTACCACCTGAAGAGTTTCCATAACTACATTGATTTTGTGTAAAAGTAATCTTATATACGTACC